TATAATGACCAACACAGTCTCAGCACACAGAACTGCATATATACAGTGTATACTGAACTGAGAGACTGCATGAATTGCAAACCAGTATCAGTATTTCAGAAAGAGCTGTGCAGTGTGAGAAAGCTGCAACTCTCAGTCATGTATACAGAGAGTGAATTACTGCAGTAAGTATATATGCATTGAAGTAATACTTTTTGATAATACTCAGTCTCTGATATGATGAAAATAGAGTCTCTCTGTGAGATTCATTTCTATCAGAAGTCAGAAAATCTTATATTTCTCAAGATCATCTTCACATGCCTTGTTCATGAAATCAATAAGAGAAATCATTGATTTCAGTGTTCTGTTCTTGATGTCATTCAAATGATAGCAGAGTTCACTCTGATCACACTTTTTAAGTATATGTTTTCTAATTATTCACATTTATATAGATATATACTGATTATTTATTAAATGATGTTAAGATAATGACTCATTGTAGCTATGTTACTCTCACTGTAAGAGATACATAATTAATGATGAACATTGTGAAGACTCTGAGAAGTGAGTATTTTAAGAGTGCTGCATCTCTGTGATCTTGATTTTTTTTTATTTTTATTTTTTATTTTTTTCTTTTTCTTTTCTTTTTTTTTTTGTTTTTCTTTCTCTTTCTATCTTTTTTTTTCTTTCTCTTCTTTTTTTCTTTCTCTTTTTTTTTTTTTATTGTGATTTTTTCTTGTTGTTTTGTTTTTTGTTTTTTTATTATTTTTTGTATTTTACATTTTTTTTTTTAATTAAAATGATATTGATTATGATCTGTGTTCAGAAAAGTAATGATATTTAATAATACTTTCTGTTGAATTTTCAACAAATGAGTACTATGTTATAATATTATGTAAGTGAGAAATGATTTCATGATCTCATTTAATATCATTTTCAATAATGAGATCAGAATGAAAATGTGACTAAGAATTCAAACATATTCTTTATCTGAGACTAGATTTTTATTTGAAAAGTGAATCTGAGACCTTTAATATTTGAAATAATGGGATTTGAGATCAATGTGATGAACACAAATCATGACCAGAAGTAATGCTTTTAGGCAACATAACAACTGTAAAGTTTGATCCTGGTCCCAGACACGGTCACACGGTCAGTCTATCTGAAAGTATACTGTATATCATACAGGATCTGAAAGTGAAGAAAACTAAGATAAAGAATATTTAGAAGAACAAGTGTATGAAGAAGCTTCTGAAGAAGTATGAAAAGATCTTCTGAACAGATCTTTCATCAGAATTGCTGTCAGAACAAGAATTCATACATGAGATTAATATAGAAGACACAAAATTAGTCAATCAGAATGTGTACTCTCTGTCATAAACATATCTTGAAGAACAGAAGTGTCAGATCACAGACCTTCTAGAATATAATCTTATACAACTCTTATTAAGTATATAAGGCTTTCCAGTTCTATTCATGAAGAAGATGGATGAGAAGTGATGAATATGTATTGATTATCAAGCACTTAATAAGCTTATAATCAAGAATGAATATTCACTGTTATGAATTTAATAACAGTTAAATACAGTTGAAAACACCTGATATCTATTGAAGATTAATCTTCTCTCAGAATACTGATAGATTCATATAGATGAACTGTCAGTTCTGTGAACTGTGTTTAATATGCAATGAAGAAAGTTTGAATTTCTAATAATATCATTCAGTCTAATAAATACATCTGTTATCTTTCAAATGATGATGAATACAATTCTTCATAAACAGAATGAAATCTCATGCCTTATATATCTTGATGATATTCTAGTCTTTTCAAACTCATATAATGAATATCTGAAGTATCTTAATGAAGTGCTTACAACTCTGACAGAGCATAAGCTCTATATCAAATTAACAAAGTGTGTGTTTGAAATGAAAGAGTTGAAGTTCATAGAATATGTAGTGAATAATGACTGTATACACCTCATTCTGAAGAAATTGAATATCATAGTAAATTAATCACAGCTGAGAAATATACATCATGTATAATAGTTTCTTGAGTTAATCTCATATTATCACAGATTTATCAAGAATTTCATATGAATATCTGCATCACTCTCAGATCTCTTAAGAGAAATAGATGCAAATCTGTGAAAGAAGAAGTTTTATTCAATCATCTGAAATATCATATGTGAAGAGGCTTTTCTCACACTGAGAAAATGTGTAATAACATTCTCAGTGCTGATTCAATCAGATCATGATAAATCTTTCTACATTGAGATGAACATATCTAAATAAGCTATCAGAGATGCTTTTCTACAGATAAGTAAGAACAGCAAGCTGCATCTGATGATGTACAATGATAGGAAACTATCAGATGCTGAGCTCAATTACTCAGTGTATGAAAAGAAATTGCTAGTGATCAAGCACACACTGACATTATGAAATAGATATATTAACAACAGATATATGATAATAGTGATCACAGATTATAAAAGCCTTGTCTATCTACAATCAATGATAAAATCTTTCAAATACTTAGCATGTTGAATCTCAGAGTTTCAAGTGTATAATCTTCATATCAAATACTGAAAGAGATTGAACACTGTGATATCTGATACAATCAGTTGCAGATCTGATTTCATGAGTGAGAGTTCTGTGAATCAGATATAAGAGAAGTTTATGTTAAACATGCTGAGAGAGTGTAAGAAATCAGAATAAGTGAACATCATAATCTCTCACTTGAAGAATGACAAGATATTAGATAATAAGCATCTTATAAGAGTAGTAGAAGAGATGCTTCTGAACTTCAAGCTGAGAAAATTGAAAAATGACATTGTGCTTTATCATGATCTAGAATATGTAAAAGCTCTCTATCTAGAATCTTTATTTAGACATGACTTGATGACTTGCATGCATAAGAAATTCAGTCACTTAGAAAGCTCTGAACTCATAAGTATACTCAAATCAAGAGTATACTGGCTAAGCATAGCTGAGAATATTCAGATGTATACTCACAAGTGTCTGAATTATCAGGTTGTGAAAGAATCTAAGAAAGGATTAGAATATAAGAAAGTATAATATCAGATGAAGTGTATAATACAACTGTTTAAATAATGAAGAGTAAACCTTATAGATATATTACTGCAAATGTCAAATGAAAATTGATGAATAATTACTGCTATTGATTACACTACTGACTGATCAGTTGTGAAAGCAGTTTCAGAGATAACAGAGAAGATAGTGATGAAGTTTCTACACAATGAGATCTATATCAACTATAGAATACTGTGTGAGATTCTAACTGATAACAGTGCAAATCTTGTAGAAGAAGTGATGAGGCATTTTATAAGTCAGTTACAGACAAGATATTGTAGAACAATGCTATATTACTCATAGATAAACAGGAAAGTGAAACACTTGAATGAAATCTTGAGTAACATGCTGATGAAATATCTAGTGAGTAAGTCTATAAGATTATGAAATGAATATCTCAGTCAGGTGCTATTAGCCATGTGAATTCAGCAGCATGTAGTCTTCAAGTGTTTATTATTCTATCTGTTGTATGAATTGCATCTACGCATTCTGAAGAATGCTTCAGAAAAGATGAGAAAGAGAATAGCAGTTACAGATGCAGTAGTAGCAGTTACAGACACAACAGTTATAAATATAGAACTAAGATTGAAAGAGATCAGTCACACATATACAAAAGTTAATAAGTTACTTCTGAACTGAGCAATTCAATTGAAAAGAATACAAGACTCACTAGTTAAGAAATTGAGTCTTAAGATAAAAATATAAGTTCTTGTATACAATAAGAGCTCTGAGAAGTTTCAATCTAGATGGTTTGAGCTATATAAAATACTCAAATCACATTCTCTGAGAATATATACATTGAAAGAACCAGAGAGACAGATCTTATACAACTTAATAAATAATTCATGACTTATAAAAGCAAAGATACAAGATCTGAGTGAATTATAATTATTCATAGCACTATTATTAGTATTGAAAAAGAAGAGACTTATAATTAAAAAGTCTTACAAAGTAAGAGAAATTATAGATGCTTATAAATCAGATAATCTTACTTATTCTGATCTTTTCACAATTATAAGAAAAGAATGAGAAGAAATGAAGAAATCAGATGAATATCATACTTTAATAAGTAATAAGACTGTAGTCAGTTGTATGATAATATGCTGCAGATAGCAGATATAACACAGTAAAGAGCAGTCTCAAAGCAGCAGACTTATATGTGAGTCAGATTACAGAAGAAAAAGGAATTCAGAGTTGAATTTAACTGTTTATATCAGTTCAATTATAAAGACAACAGAGAATGAAGTATCTGAAATATCTGTAGATATATGAGATCAAGCTATCTTAACCTCTGAACACACTTAGAGATCAGGTAAGATTAGTTTCAATGAGCTGTTTACTATAGTGATCTGAGCAGGTAAAGAGAGACAGTATAATATATGAGACAGAATTATAAAAGATGAAAGCTGCTGAATCTAGTCACTGAATGCTGTATTATATAGAGATTATGTAAGAGTAGTGACTAGCAGATAAAGAAAAAATGTAAGAAAAGAAAAGAGATAATAAATTAATTATTAACTATAAGAGTCAGCTGTAAAAGACAAATGTTATTATATATATCTTATTCATTTTCATACACTATATATTAATCTATTTTCAATGCCACATCACCTGAAAAACATTAAAAATAAAGAAAATCTTATAACTTGAGATTCACAAGAGATTTGAGAGCTGTAAGCTGCTCTTATAACAATGTCACACATGTCTCTGATTTCTCTATCACTCTGTGTATGACATTAATATCATTTATTGCAAGATTGGCTGGAATACTAATATAGAAATGTATACATGTACAGGTAGAAAAATTGAAGAAGAGCATGAAACTTGCAGAATCAGAAGTCAGAGCAGAGAAGACAGAGATGAAAGAAATAAAAGAAGAAGAAGATACAGAACTGAATGAATAACAGCAGAAGTCACTTGAGACTGAATACTTATAATCTGATGTGCACACAACCTTCTCTGCAGAGAAGAAAGAGAAAGTGATAGAAGAAGCTTGAAAGTGAGAGAGAGTAGTCTCAACAGTGTTATCATCTTCAATTAAAATGACCTCTGACACTGAAGTAACTAAGAACTATTATTAGTGTACAAAAATCACAAAATCAGAGATGAGAATAGTTACTGAATGAACACTCACTGATCTTAAAGTTGTACATATAATTACAACATGCACAAGACTTCTTGAGAAGAGAGAGAGAAACATGAGAAAATGCAGAAAACAGAATATAGTGTATGAATGACTTATTCTCATGATGATATCTCAGACAAGATATTCAAGTCTCACACTTATAAGTGTAAAAAAGTATAACATCTGCATTTCTGTTTCTGAAAACACAGATATCTTTCATCTGTATTACAAAGTTGAACAATAGATGTCAGAGAATAGACTGATACAGATCTATTATTTCAAAAGAATTCATTAGAGTAAATATCTCTGTGATGTTAAACTTTACAGTTATGAAAAGTTTCTTAATATCTGTGAATGTCATGATTTTGTGTACAGTAAAACTCAAAACAATTTTCTCTAAGAACAGAAAAATCAGCATCAGAAAAAAAAAAAATGAAAAAGAAAAAGACTTACAATCTCAATACTGTTGAAAGAGAAGATGATTCTCTGATATAAATGAATAATTGTTTTATCATGAATATTTGAAATGAATATAATAATTGATGTTCATAACTGAGCTTTAAATAGTTATGTTGTATACAGTCTTTATACAATAAATTATTCTGAGAGTCAGCAAGAAGAGTGAAAGTGTATACACTGAGAAATATAGTTTATTAAGTCTACATAACATCTCCTTGAAACAGGGAGAGCTGATAATGAAAGCAGAGATGATAAAACCAGAAGTAGTAGAAGTAAGAGTTATGGAAACAGAGGTAGCAGAAGTGAGAGAACCAGACACAGAGACAGATGTAGAAGATTGAGAGAGAGTGACAGAGAAAGAAACAGAGAGAACAGAGAGAGACACAGAAGACTCAGTTATATATAACACAGACAATTTCTTCATTATTACATTCTTCAAGTTCTCAACTAATAATTCAACATTGAGTTCACTATTATCAGTGAATGCAGATCTGTCAACACATGAAGATTCTACATGAATAAAAAAAAAAAAAAAAAAAAAAAAAACATATCAGTATCTGCATTTATGCAAAATTATGTCAGAAAACATGATTAGAAGCTCACTAAGAAGAAAAAATGCTTGAGAATGTATGAGAAGATGAAGAAGATGTGTCATTCATAGTAATATGTTCTAGTGATTGTTAGAAGATAAACAAGTTCTGATCATGTTTCATAATGTATTACACTTACTGCTAATAAACTGTCTGATATGAGCACTATGATAATGCTTGTTGTGAGAATAGAGAGATCATTATCAGAAATGTGTACAATGTGATAGATAAACAGATAGAAGGTGTTGAACAGAAGAAGAAAGCAGTAATCTTGAATGAAATGATGATGATGTTTGATAATGATGATGATGAAGAAGATGATTGAAGAATGAGAAAAGTTAGTGAATAAGTGATGTAATATAGTAAAAGTTTATTATTATTATTATTATTATTCTTCAATTATAGATGTATGCAGTCAGAGACTATGACATCTACCTGAGAACTTTTAGTTCTCAGGGTTTTTCCTATATCTGTAAAGTTAACTATTATACATTCATCAATTTCAGATATGCAAAATCAGAAAATTCCAGCTCAGAATACAAAAACTGTTTACAAATTGCAGTGTTTTAACATCTTCTGATACTTTGAAATCATTTGACATAGTGAAAGTTTCTTTATGAGAGTGTATACAGAACACTAGTCAAATCAGAGATAGATTACAGAATCATGAACACTAGTAGCCTGCTAATCTGCATGAAGCTAGAATAGATGTTATGATCACATAAGTGTGACTGAATCTGATGAGAGAGAATGTGGTTCAGAAGAATGTACAACTGTTGAATAATAACACAGCCGCTTCTGAACTTGCTTATAAATGTAAAGAGGCCATAGCGGCCACTAATTAATTTAGTGTACAATATATAAGAAGCCGGTGTACGCCTGTAATCATACGCTGGCTCAAGAAACCTTAGAATCACACAATCAGAATGCATACTCTCTGTCACAAACACATCTTGAAGAACAGAAGTATCAGATCACAGATCTTCTAGAACATAATTTCATACAATTCTCATTAAGCATGTGAGACTTTTCAGTTCTATTTGTGAAAAAGATGAATGAGAAGTGATGAATGTATATCAATTATCAAGCACTTAATAAGCTTACAATCAAGAATGAATATTCACTGTCATAGATTCAACAACAGTTGAATACAGTTGAAAACACTTAATATCTATCAAAGATTAATCTTCTCTCAGAATACTGACAGATCTGTATAGATGAACTGTCAGTTCTGTGAACTGTGTTTAATATGTAATAAGAGAAGTTCAAATTTCTGACAATGTCATTCAGTCTAACAAATGTATCTGTCATCTTTCAAATGATGATGAATACAATTTTTCATAAACAGAATGAAATCTCATGTCTTGTATATCTTGATAACATTTTAGTCTTTTCAAACTCATATAACAAATATCTGAAGCATCTCAATGAAGTGCTTATAACTCTGGCAGAGTATAAGCTCTATATCAAATCAACAAAGTATGTGTTTGAAATAGAAGAGTTGAAGTTCATAGAACATGTAGTGAGTAATAACTGTATATATCTCATCTCAGAGAAATTGAATATCATAGTAAATTGACTGTAGCTAAGAAATGTACATCATGTACAACAGTTTCTTAAGTTAATCTCATATTACTGCAGATTCATCAAGGATTTCATATAAATATCTGTATCACTCTCAGATCTCTTAAGAGAAACAGATACAAATCTGTGAAAGAAGAAGTTTTATTTAATTATCTGAAATGTTACATGCAAAGAGGCTTTTCTCACACTGAGAGAATATGTAATAACATTCTCAGTGCTTATTTAATCAGATTGTAATAAACTGTTCTATATTGAGACAGACATATTTGAATAAGCTATCAGAGGCACTCTTCTACAGATGAGCAAGAATGACAAGCTGCACTCAGTGATGTACAATGATAGAAAACTATCAGACACTGAGCTCAATTATTCAGTGCATGAAAAGAAATTACTAGCAATTAAACACACACTGACATTGTGAGATAGATATATTAATAATAGACATACAATAACAGTGATCACAGATTACAAAAGCCTTATCTATCTATAATTAATAATAAAACCTTTTAAACACTTAGTATATTGAATCTCAGAGTTTCAAGCATATAATCTTCAGATTAAATATCAAAAGAGATCAGACACTGTGATATCTGATGCAATCAGTCACAGACTCAATTTCATGAGTGAGAGTTCTATGAATTAGATATAAGAGAAGTTTGCATTAAACATACTGAGAGAATACAAGGAATCAGAATGAGTGAACACAATGATCTCTTGCTTAGAGAACAGCAAGATATCAGATGACAAACATCTTATAAAAGTAGTAGAAGAGATGATTTCAAACTTCAAGCTGAGAAAATTAAAAAATAATGTTATGCTTTACTGTGATCTAGAATATGCAGAAGCTCTCTATCTAGAATATTTATTTAGACATGACTTGATGACTCACATGCACAAGGAATTCAGTCACTTAGAAAGCTCTGACCTTATAAGCATACTCAAATCAAGAGTATACTGATCAAGCATGGCTGAGGACATTCAGATGTATACTTATAAGTGCCTGAATTATCAGGTCATAAAAGAATCTAAGAAAGAGTTAGAATGCAAGAAAGCACATTATCAGATAAAGTGTATAATACAACTGTTCAAACAATGAGAGATGAATCTCATAGACATATTACTATAAATATCAAATAAAAATTGATGAATAATCACTGCTATTGATTACACTACTGACTGACTAGTTACAAAAGCAGTTTCAGAGATGATAGAGAAGATAGTGACAAAGTTTCTACATGATGAAATCTATATCAACTATAAAATACTATGTGAGATTCTAACTGATAATGATGCAAATCTTGTAGAAGAAGTGATGAGGTATTTCATGAGTTAGTTATAGATAAGATATTGTAGAACAACATCATATCATCTGCAGATAAATAGAAAAGTGAAATACTTGAATGAAATCTTTAGCAACATGCTGATAAAATATCTAGTGAGTAAGTCTACAAGATTATGAGATGAATATCTCAGTCAGACACTATTAGTCATGTGAATTCAGCAGCATGCAGTCTTCAAGTATTTATTATTCTATCTGTTGTATGAATTGCATCCATGCATCTCAGAGAATACTTCAGAAAAGATGAGAGAGAGAACAGTAGTTACAGACACAGCAGTAGTAGTTGCAGATACAACAGTTATAAATGCAGAATCAAGATTGAAAGAGATCAGCCACACACATGCAAAAGCTAACAAGTTACTTCTGAATTAAGTAATTCAATTGAAAAGAATACAAGACTTACTAGTTAAGAAATTGAGTCTCAAGATGAGAATATGAGTTCTTATACATAATGAGAGCTCTGAGAAGTTTCAATCTAGATGGTTTGAGTTATATAAAATACTTAAATCACATTCTCTGAAAACATATACATTGAAAGAATTAGAGAGACAGGTCTTATATAACTTAATAAATAATTCATAACTTATGAAAGCAAAGATGTAAGATCTGAGTGAATTATAATTATTCACAGCACTATTATCAGCATTGAAAAAGAAGAGACTTATAATTGAAAAGTCTCACAAAGTAAGAGAAATCATAGACACTTACAAATCAGATGATCTTACTTATTTCAATCTTTTTATAATTATAAGAAAAGAATGAGAAGAAATGAAGAAATCAGATGAATATCATACTTTAATAAGTAATGAGACTGTAGTCAGTTGTATGATAATGTGCTGTAGATAGCAGATATAACACAGTAAAGAGCAGTCTCAAAGCAGCAGACTTATATGTGAGTCAGATTGCAGAAGAAAAAGGAATTCAGAGTTGAATTTAACTGTTTATATCAGTTCAATTATAAAGACAACAGAGAATGAAGTATCTAAAACATCTGTAGATATATGAGATCAAGCTATCTTAACCTCTGAGAACACTCAGAGATCAGATGAGATTAGTTTCAATGAGCTGTTTACTATAGTGATCTAAGTGAGTGAAGAGAGACAGTATAATGTATGAGACAGAATCATAAAAGATGAAAGCTGTCAAACCTAGTCACTGAACACTGTATTATATAGAGATTGTATAAGAGTAGTGACTAGCAGACAAAGAAAAAGTGTAAGAAAAGAAAAGAGATAATGAATTGATCATCAACTGTAAGAGTCAGCTGTAAAAGACAAATGTTATTATACACATCTTATTCATTTTTATACACTACATATTAATCTATTTTCAATGCCACATTACTCAAAAAACATCAAAAACAAAGGAAATCTCAAAACTCAAGGTCTGTAAGAGATTTGAGAGCTGCAAGCTACTCTTATAACAATATCATGTATATCTTCAATTTCTCTATCACTCTATATACAACATTAATGTCATTTATTGCAAGATTGACTGAAATGCCAATATAGAAATGTGTACATATACAGGTAGAAAAATTGAAGAAGAGTGTGAGATTCACAGAATTAGAAGTCAGAGCAGAGAGAGTGAAGATAGAAGAAATAGAAGAAGAAGAAGATATAGAATCAGATAAATAACAGTAGAAGTCACTCAGAGCTGAACACTTATAACTCAGTATGTACACAATCTTCTCTGCAGAGAAGGAAGAGAAAGTGACAGAAGAAGCTTGAGAGTGAAAGAGAATAGTCTCAGTGACATTGTCATCTTCAATTAAAATGATCTCTGACACTGAAGCAACTAAGAACTATTATTAGTGTATAAAAACTGCAAAATCAGACATGAAAACAGTTATTAAATAAACACCTGCTGATCTTAGAGTTGTATGTATAATTACAACATGCATGAGACTTCTCAGAAAGAGAGAGAGAAATACAGAGAAATACAGAAAGTAGAATACAGTGTGTGAATAGCTTATTCTCACAACAACATCTCAGATA